CTCGCGCGGCGTCCCGGAGCGCAACTTTTCGAGGATGTCTCAGGCGAAACGGCCAATCCCGGCCAACTCAGAAACGAGATTTGTGAGGATGTCTGAAGCGAAACGGCCCGGACCATCAAATTTTTGTGAGGATGTCTCTGCTCCGACTTCCCTCGGCCGGAGTTAGCTTCTATCACAACAGCACCCCGTTCAGCAAGCTGTTTGGGGAATGAGCGCGGTGGAGAAGAAAAGAGAAAAGGAGGTTGAGGATAAGGAGGCGGATTATGATAATGATGATGAAGTTGATGAGGATGCTGGTGGCGGTGCTGATGATGATGACGATGCTGATGCTGCTGCTGATGATGATGCTGATGATTGAGATGATGATTATGATGATGGTGATGATGACGATGACGATGATGGTGACAACGATGAAGGTGAAGATGCTGATGATGCTGATGATGCTGATGATGGTGGTGATGGTGATTGTGATGGTGATGATGATGAGGAGGAGGAGGAGGAGGATGGTGATGCTGATGCTGATGCTGATGCTGATGATGCTAATGATGATGATGGTGGTGGTGGTGGTGGTGGTGGTGGCAGTGCTGGTGATGGTGATGGTCATGAGCCTGTCACACATTATTTGGTTACGATATTCGGCTGCCCAACATCGCTATGGACGTTCGAGGGCGCCGCGATATCGAGCTGCGTTCCTGAGCTGGCTGGCCGCCTAGCAATAGCAGGATGGATACGGATCATAGAGGGCGCTAGAGCCAGGAGCGAGGAGGGGGCGTCTTTCGTAGCGTTTCGCTCGCATTCGAGCAGCTATTCCCAGCCGTTTCGGCAGCTGGGCATTCCCATGGACCCGTTCTAAGCCTTGGTGAGCGGAGGAGGAGGAAAAAGAGAAAGACGGGAGGAATACTGGAGGAGAAGGATGATGATGATGAGGTGGAGTAGGAGAAATACCGAGAGACGATCCTGATGATGTTGCTGATGATTATGGTGATCGATCAGCATCGTGATAATGATGATGATGATGATGATGATGATGATGATGATGATGATGATGATGATGATGATGATGATGATGATGGTTGGTGGCGGTGCTGATGGTGATGGTGATGGTGATGGTGATGGTGATGATGATGGTGATGATGGTGGTGGTGAAGGTGATGATGAAGGTGACGGATATGGTGGTTGTGGTTGTGGTGGTGATTGTGTTAGTAATGGTGATGGTGCTGGTGATGATGATGCTGATGCTGCTGCTGATGCTGATGATGATGTTGATGTTGATAGTGGTGGTGATGATGGTGATGATGATGGGGAGGAGGAAGATGAGGAGGAGGATGCTGCTGCTGCCGCCGCCGATGATGATGATGATGATGAATAGGATGATGAATAGGATGATGAATAGGATGATGATGATGCTGATGATGATGTTGATGATGATGCTGATGATGATGCTAATGAGGATGAGGATGAGGATGCTGCAGATGATGATGACGATGATGATGATGCTGATGCTGGCGATGATGATGGTGACATGATGATGGTGATGATGCTGCTGATGATGATTTCTGATGATGGAGGTGTTGGCAGTGATGTTGATAGTGATGGTGATGGTGATGATGGTGATGATGGTGGTGATGGTGCTTATAGTGATGGTGGTGTGAAGATGATGACGATGACGATGATGAGGAGGAGGAGGAGGGGGAGGAGGAGCAGGATGAGAAGCAAAAAGATCTGAATTATGTTTCATGGGAGAGGTTTCTTGTGCAAGGGCGCGCTTCTGAAGGAGCCTCGGTGGTGGAATCTGGGCTCGTGCGGCAGCCATCCGTGCCTCTGCGGAAAATGCGAATGCGCCTAGTACCATTCAACCATGTGTACATCGGGCGGCAACAAGCGAGAGTCTGCCAACAGGGACGACTAGCAGCGCGGAGTGGGCTGTGCGCCAAAGATCACACGTCTTGCGCGGCCTTCGCAAAGTAACCGCGAAAAGCAGCGTGCTCACGAAGTGAGAAGATCATCCAGGCAGCAGTCCAGCCTGCTGGCCCCAGCTTGTCAGCCAAACTTGAGCAGTCAGCCCTCGGTAATGCTGGGCCTAGACCCGCCCAATACAAGAGATGGTGGGCGTCTCACAGGGGCAAGTGGTCCGGGTACGATCTGCTGCCTTGTGAGCAGGAGGTTGCGAGCACAGCCTTCGCTCCTGAGAGTGCGTATAGGTTTGCGAACGCGCTGGAGCAATCAGCTAGGGACAAGTTGGTCATAAGCTCACGCGGTGGATTACGACTGCGAGCAGGAGGAAGGAGAGGGGAAGAAGGAGGAGGAGGAGGAGGAGCAGTAACAGCAGCAGTAACATAAGCAGCAACAGTAGAAGCAGCAGCGGTGGCAGAGAGGGTAGCTAAGGACGGCGTCTGCCAAGAAGGAGGTCATGTTCCATTTCTTCGAGTGGCTCGCAAATTTACCGCCGAGCAGTGTGCCGCTGAGCGGAGCATATCGACGTTCACAAGCGACGCAAGAGGCACGCGGGAGAAAGGGATGCAGGTCGATGAGTAGGAGCAGAACGCGAACGGTGATATCTAAGGCGGACACATCAATTACTGTGACATGAGAAGTTGCTAAGCCCAGCAATGTGGGATTCATGGCTTCTCGCCTGCGAAGGTCTATGCAGACCCGACGCCTTCTCTCACATCTGGGTGCTAAGACGGGAAGTGGCCAGGGTCGCATCGTTGTTCTGTGCTTGATCTGCTTTGTACCGATGTAGGAATGTCTTGGCTCTCGGGGATCTTGCACGCAGATCACCCATGTCACGGATCAAATCATGGTGCCACCAGCTTGTGCGAGCATTCTTGTTCTTATGCTTTACAGGTTGGGGACCCCACACAGGTTCCCCCCAACCCAAAACGAATTTCGGCACCCCTGGGTTCCCTGGACGCCTCTTCAGAGCGTTCCCTGGGCCTTCTGAACCTCATGGACGTCCCTGCCGAGCCTTGCAAACAGGCCAGGGCACGAGGCTTCAAGAAGCGCGTCGGGGTTTCCAGAGGAGGCTCTGGAAAACCCAGTCTTGTCCAAAACAAGACGCTGTTATGCTTATTTGGTTTCTTCATTTTGGGGGGCTCAAGATGGCTCCAAGAAGGCCTCCGAAAATGCAAAGGGAGCTCAAGATGGCCCTATGAGGCTACGGATCAAGGCGGTCCAGGATGGCGCCAAACGGTCTAAGAGGCCCTCCGGAGAGCCCCGATATTAGACAAACATTGTTCCCAAATAGCCCGAACGTCTTCCAGAACACCCCCGAGATGCCCTCGAGAAGGCCCAAGATGCCCAGAGACGGCCTAGGGGGCCCCTCAGAGCGCCCTGGATGCAATTCGAATAAGACGAAGTGCAAGCGGAATAGAGGCAGAGGAGGAGGGGCAACGTTGTGTGAGGATGGGCTCGGGGGGATGCATCGACCCCCCATCGCCCACTGATCGCCGCTATGGGCCCGATAGCCCACCCGGCCCAGGAGGGTGCGGTTTCGCTATCGGGGGCATATCGCCGATCGAGCGGCGATGTATCACCGATTCCAGGTCGATGCCACCCCCTGAGCCAGCCCCCCTTCAAGTTCCCCCTCAGAGGGGAAGAGAGAGTGGGGAGGCGAGGGAGCAAAGAAGGAGAAGCAGCGGGCCGATCGCCAGTCCAGACGCGCGCCGCTCAAAGCCGGAGGAATCGATTATGAAACTTATATTCGACCGATGAGAGCTGTTGGGTCTCGCGTACTCCTACCCCGTGAACGCGATATTATGTTCGTTCGCATGCTACGCCCTTGCCCATTTCCGGAGCAATGTTGTAAATATATGTATTGTGCCGATGGTAACCGTTGTGTTGCCAGACGAGCGAGTCTCGTGCACCATTGTCCCGTGAGCTCGTTAGCGCATTTCTCCCCCGTTGTATCGAAACGTTGAAGAGCAAAGTGCGCTGCGCAAAGCGCCAGTGCAGTCGTGCTTCTATGGAAGACGCCCACGGCGAATCACCGACGCCCCCTGCCTTTTCGAAGCGCCTATGTGGCCCAACGTTGTGGCCAGAGCTCGGCCACGCTATCGGACTGTGCGTTCCTCCAGCCGTTGTGGGAACCGTTCGGGGAACACTTCGGGGGAGGAAGAACACGAGGAGTTTAATGGAGGAGGGGGAGGAGGAGAAGGAGGAGGAGGAGGAGGAGGAGGCCTCCTGGGAGCCTCTCACTCTTGGGGCCTCCCGGGAGCTTCTTGGGAGCCTTTTGGAGGCATATTGGGGGGTTCCTTGGGCCTCGTGGGGGCCTTCGGAGGCTCCTTGCGAGGCTCTATGGTCGTCTGAGGGCGTTCCTGGCTCGTCTGACGCCACCAGATACCGTCCTGGGGGCATCTCGGAGCCAAGTTGGGGTCATCTTGTGGTGCGTCAGGGCCGTATTGGATGCCATCTTGGGCGTCTTGGAGGTCTCCTGGGCCGTTCTGTGGCCCTCTTGGGGCCATCTTGCGGGCCTCTTGGGCCGTCAGGACACAATCTCCCGCAGGCATGTGTTATATGAGAGCTCGTTCACAAAGTTGAACCACCCAGGGATTGAACGCAAAGGCAAGTGACACTCACGCGTGCCATGGCTCTTGCACAGAGAAGGGGGAGGAGGAGGAGGAGGAGGAGGAGGAGGAGGAGGAGGAGGAGGAGGAGGAGGAAGAATAGGAGAAAGAGGAGGAGGAGGAGGGGGTGGTGGAGGACGAAAGGGGGAAGAGGGGACGAGACATTGGAGGAGGGAACAAAGAGGGCCGCAAGAGGGGCTTCAGAGGGCCAGCTCGCGGAGGCTCTCAGGGCCGTCCCCCACAAGATGGCTTCAAAGACCTTCAACATGTTCCCAGGAGGCCTTTAGCAGACACCCAAGGAGCCCACAGAGGGCCCCAAGAGGTCCCTGGGAGCCCCACAAGGCATTGAAGCGCCCTCTCGGAGGCCTCCAAGGTCCAAGGAGGGACGGAAGACATTATTGAGCAGACCTGCTTGCTGGAGGCTCGCGGCGCAAACTGCCACATGTTACGGCCTTGTGCTGGGAACGCTTGTCCAAGTAAGGAGTCGGGGCAGGGCGGTGCCGTGCCGAAATACAAGGGTCGGGGCGGAGGGGGCGCGCTGGCTTGTGGGTGGGGGGTGCAGAAGAGGCGCGCGGGATGGGGGGGCGGTGCCGTGCCGAAATAAAGGGGTCGGGGTGGAGGGGGCGCGCTGGCTGGTAGGTGGGGGGATGCGGAGGGGGCGCGCGTGATGGGAGGGGGGCGGTGCCGTCGCGCCGAAATAAAAGGGTCGGGGCGGAGGGGGTGTGCCGGCTGGTGGGGATGCGGAGGGGGCGCGGGTCAGCGCGGGAGCGTTGGCTGGCAGGTGGGAGGATTCGGAGGGCCTACAATAAAAGAGAAATCAAGGGGTCGAGGCGGAGGGGGCGCGCTGGCTGGTGGGTGGGGGATGCAGAAGAGGCGCGCAAGATAGTTGGGGCGGTGCCGTGCCGAAATACGAAATAATGAAAGGGTCGGGGCGGAGTGGGCGCTCTGACTGGTGGGTAGGGGGATGCGGAGGAAGCTCGCGGGATGGGAGGGGGGCGGTGCCGCGCCGAAATAAATAAGGGTCGGGGCGGAGGGGGCGCGCTGGCTGGTGAGAGGGGTGGTACAGAGGGGGCTCTCGGCATGGGGGGGGTCGGTGCCGTGCCGAAATAAAGGGGTCGAGGCGGAGGGGGCGCGCTGGCTGGTGGATGGGGTGATGGAGACGGCGCTCGGGATGGGGGGGGCGGTGCCGAAGTCAAAGGGTCGGGGCGGCGGGGGCGCGCTTGCTGGTGGTCGGGGTGGGCGGGTTGATGTAGAGGTGGCGCGCGGGATGGGGCGTGGGGGGGAGGTGCCGTGCCGGAATAAAAGGATCGGGGCGGAGGGGGCGCGCTGGCTGGTAGGTGGGAGAATGCGGAGGGCGTATGGTGAGGGGTCGGGGCGGGGCGAAACCAAAACCGCCCTGAGTGGCACCTAGAACATTTGCATCTGGCACCTCGAATTTGTCCGTTGGCTTCGACGCAGCGAAGCCTTGAGCCGATGAGGACGCAGCTTTCTTGGACAGAACCCTGACGATATCTTGGGACCATAGGGGTCATCTTGGAGCCATGAGGATCGCCAGGGCCCCTCTCTTGGGCCGTCTTGGGGCCATCGTGGGCCGTCTTGGGGCCCTCTTTGGGGCCTCTTGGGCCGTCTCGGAACGAGCTTTCGGGCATCTTGGGCCGTTCTTGGCCCGAAGAAGCGATTAATAATATGATTGCGACTACACCTACCACTACTACTATGCTACTACTATCACTATACGCACGCAATACGGCGATTACTCATACCATCACCGCGAAAATTACATTATTGTGCTGACGTGGCCTGACATCGCCGCATAATTCAACAACCATCACCATCGTTTGCGTGGCCTTCATATCCATTCATTCCCATCATCATAAACGCTGACATCATCATCCTTCAATATCACCTCGCGCCACATCGATATATCGCGCCACATATATTGCACCGCGGAGCTTACACTACAGGCTCACGCCGCACTGATTGCACCACGTTGATTGTAGTAGATACCACATCCACTGCTTAATGACTCAGTGGCCGACGCTGGTACATGCACACTATATGTGCATGCGCGCGCGCGCCCATCTCGTCATGCCGACAGTCACCATCACTCGTCGCCCCAGGCCCAGTCATCAGGGAACGTCCCGTCGACATCCCGCTGCCATCATCGTGACCTGTCTTCACCATCACCTCAGTCCATAGCTGTCCCATCAAAGCGCATGTGTTGCAGCAGCTTGTTTCCCGGAGAGGTAATCCAATGAGCCTGACTCCCCGGGGGGGGGGGTCAGGCTCATTGGCTTATGTTGCGCATGCGAGAGTCACGAGGGGCCCCCCTTGGACACCGGCCGAGCCCAATGAACCCGACCCCCCCCCCCTGGGGGGTCAGGCTCATTGGATTACCTCTCCGGGAAACCTGCTGTTGCAACACATGCGTTTTGATGGACAACAGCTATTGACAGACGTGATGGTAAGTCATGATGATGGCAGCGCCGATGATGATTGGAATGAATGGAAGACTTCGTCGTCGTCGTCGTCGCGTCCAGAGTCCAAAAAAAAGCCCGACGCCGCCCTCCCGGGAGATTCCTGCGGGCGTCTCTCAACGAAGGCGATTTGCTCATTGGACACGGCCGGTGTGCAATGAGCAACCCAGGATTCCCGGGGCCTCGGAAGCTCAATTCTGGCTTGGGCAGGGCCTCGGTGGCCTCCCGGGGTCCAATTTTGCTTTGGGCCGCCGCCTGAGGGGGGTTCCCGGGGTCCAATTCCGGCTCGGGCCGCTCCTGAGAAGCCTTCCCGGGGCCCAATTCCGGCTTGGGCCGCCGGTTCCCGTGAAACGTATGCTTGTTGGCCGCCATCTTCCGAGATTGGTCACACCTGGGACCATTATGGTCCCAGGTGTGACCAGGTCCCGGCCTCCGGCGTCTTGACGTTCCCCGCCGTT